GCTGATCCAATACCAAGGAGTACCATTGGTATGACCTCTGTCCAACTAAGTGCGACACTTAGCGAGGCTTTGCTGTCGGTGAAAGCATTCCACCATTCTGTTTGCCTGAGAATGGTAAGCAGTTGTCCTAGAGTGTTTACATCCGAGGACTTTGAGTAGATCGTTGAAAGGCGACAATTCGAACTGCGGACCACGGTCGGTATTCATTGGCTGGACAGCCATATGAAACTATCCAGCGCTTGATGAATGCGCGCGTTATGGTCACAGCAGTAGCTTCAGACAAACGAGTGGCGCAATCCACCATGGTCAGTATGCATCGTATGTCTTTGGACGACGGAAGTGGTCCAACAATGTCGAGGTGGACGGGAGCGCCTCAAGTTGACTCTGACGGAAAGCTTCCTATTAGAGCCCAACGTGTCGGTGAACTTCTGCCTAATGACAAGTCAGACAGTTGCATGCCCAAAGTCTGGCGTCACCCTGCATGTTGGCCAGACGGACCTGTCGGTAATCATTCTGGCTGAAGCGAGGATGCCAAAATGCGCAATATTGTGCAGCGTACCGAAGACTTTTAGGCGAAAAGCTGTTGGTACAAGTAGACATGGATATCCAGTCGGAACGTCACAGATTATTGTACCTGTAGACGAAGGCAATGGTTTTGGCGCTAACTTCAATGTGGACTATTCGCAGGAGGTTATTAAATCATTTTCGGCTTGCTGAGCGGCGGTCATAGCTAGCAGATCGAGGAATGGAACTGTCGGAGCCAGAGGGTTCTCTCTAGGAAGCGTGTCCGCCACGACAGTGTCCTTACCAGTGACGTATTGAATGTCCGTTGAACAATGAGCGACGAACTTCAGGCGAAGAGTGACGAGGCGAAGTGTTCCGAAAGGCGTAGTTGAGTGGTTGGTGGTCTGTAAAGATCGTAAAATGTTTACCTTTAAGAAAGTGACGCAAATGGCAAACAGCGGTATGGACGGCATGTAACCCTTGGCCAAATGTGGTGTAGTTTGTTTCGGTTGTCTAAAGCCTTCGAGAAAAGGACGTTATTGGTCACCAGTTACCTTGGAAAAACCACTGTAGGACAGTATCGATCGCGTCTTCCGAGACGTCGACGGCCACACTGCTCAGAGCGTTCGAGTCAAAGTGATAATGCTTGACAGCAGAAGCTAGTGTTTCTTTGCTGGCTTCGGATGTCTGTTGTGCTTCAGGCGTAAGATCAACTTTACCGTTGTTGTATCCACGCAGAATATCCGTGTGCGGTTGCATATGCTCGGCGCAGCGTGGTAGGAAGCGGCGATAGTAGTTGACCATGCCATTGAAGCTTAGAATGGCGGCGAGAGTAGTTGGATGCGGAGTCGTGAATTGCCTGGTCTCTCCCGCAATGGGCGGATACACTCGGAATCAAGTTGATGTCCGACGAACTCACTACGCTGCTGTCTGAACATGCACTTGTCAGGGTTGACGGTGACCTTATGCGCCTTCAACCGCTCGAACAGGAGTCGTGGATGCATTCGTTGTTCTTCTTTTGATGAGCTGGCCACCTAATTGTCATCTATATAAGGGTGGACGAAGTCGAGTCCAGGTACGACGGCGTCAATTAGACGTTGCAATATCTGCGCAGCGTTGCGAGGACCGAGTGGCATTCATAGTAACTCATGCAGCCCACATGGTCTGATGACGGCGGTTTTCGGTATCCTCATCGGCGACCGGGATCTGGATATAAACTCGCACCAGATCGATCTTTGAGAACACGCGAGAGCCATGAAGACCGGCGTGATATCCTATATCTTTGGAATCGGATAACGGTCCGGAACCGGTAGGTTGTTGAGGGCGCGATAGTCTCCATATGGTCGCCGGTCTCCTAACTTTTTCAGCATATGTAAAGAGGCGAAGACCAAGGGCTATCAGACGGTCGGTCGATCCCAAGTTCCAGCATGTGCTCGAATTCTGCATGGGAAGATTTGCGTTCCTCCGGAGTAAGTCCTCGGGCTTTGGCGGAGACGGGCGGACACTTGGTAATTATGTCATACGGTGTAGCTGCGGCGGCGGTTGCCAGAGAAGATGAAGGTCGGAAGACTCCGGGAAACTCTCAAGTAGCACTTTGCTGATCGGTAAGCTGGCAGTAGCGTACACCGGACTGAGGGATGCTACATCGCTGAATATTCTAGATACCGAAAGTTACCTTGTCTGATCGATGAGAAGTTGTCTTTCAGAGTTGACGAGCAAGTCAAAGTGCTGAAGAAAATCCTTCCAGATTAGGGGATTTTGGAAGTCAGCGACAAAGAATATCTATCGAAAGGAGCGTCGCTTGTCAACGTTATGTGTGTACAAGCGTTGACCGTACACGCGGATGCTAGTGCAATTGGCTGTGCGTAGAGAACTAGTCACCCTTCCGGTTGCGTCGGTAGGATCACGAGGAAGGGCGCTGACTACTGAGCAAGTATCGGTGAGTTAGCGGACTCCGGTTTGTCGATCGGTGACAAAGAGTAGGCAACTGATTTAAGCAGCTACATCCGTCGCCCCTACTTGCTGGCCGGCCCGTTTCGCTGTGCGTTGCGTTTGAAGGAACATGGTGGGTGGCACCACTTGGCCTGTGGGCCAAACCGCTGATTATACCAGCAGTAGGAAAGGATTCCGCGAGGTGGTTTCGACGGAGATTTTGATCGAGTTGGGCGTTGGCGACTTGAGGATTGGCATCAGCAGCTACTCCTAGAAGGTGTGAAATCGGTACACATCTCGCTGAATGCGGTAACCTGCGCTTTCATTTCTGCTATAGCGTCTTTTGGCGTACATTGAACTAGTAAAAGCTGGCCATATGATTCATATATTTGGTCTCTGACATCGGCCATCAACGTCAATGGTGCGCCGGCATTTGCGTAGAGTACGTTACACATTTTTGCGGCAATCTAAGCAGCCACATTTCCTTGATAAATGCGCCGTCCACCATGGCTGGTTTGGCTAAACGTTGCATCATTCGTAATAGCTGCGATGTCTTGAGGTCACCCAACTGTGTGTTGCTCAAAACCTTTGTGACACACTGACGATCTGCAAGACCTGTTCTTTTGAGAATCGCTGCTTTTATTTCTTCTACGGTGTTCCTCTCAGCTGGCAGCTCGAGGATATCGTTAATGTCGTCGACTGCGTGCGAATGAAGCGTGGAGACGAAGTGGAAATATTTGATCTCTACAGACCAAATGCCACACAGTTCAAAAAGTGCTTCTAACTAAGCAGACCAATGTGTTGGTGTTTCCGCGAAATGGTTGGTGGCGATGGTCACAATTTCGATCTAAACGTCGGGAACTAGGTCACACGCCGCCATAGGAAAAAGATACAAAGTAAGTGATATAAAACACGAAATGTGCACAAAATGTGAAAATAGCTGGTCTTAACACAGAACTTAAAAAATCTTTCTGTCTCTATGATCTCAGGTTCATCCCTGTTGTATCCTAATGAGCACACTAGGCCCCTACGCAAGCAAGGTCGTGAATCACTACGGGTCGATCCGACTAACAAAAGCAGAAAAAGAGACGGACACACTCTGGACACTCTATTCACAAAAGTGTCAGAAAAGGTACATGCGTAAGGACCTTGATATTGATTCATCGATGACGCTCATTCAATCATTTGTTGGCTACGTTGCGTGGCGTTATAGGCATTACTGGAAGTTGCGGTAGGCGCTACAACATCGCCCCTTACCTAAATGAGTACATCTGCATGAGTTACAGTTGAGCTGCTAGGCCCACTGCTTTGGATACCGTTTCTGGACATTGACTCTGCGATTGGCTGATGGTCTGAGTAAAGCTGTCTGGCATTAACTTGGCCCTAATATCCGAGTAGTTCTGATGGGGCGCGCTAATGCTGGTTGCTCCTTACGTGTTTACTTTTCATTTAGCCGGACTAACGGTCCGGGACATAACCATGTGGATTGCTTTTCGCAAGAATGATGAGAGTTGGTGGGGATCGCTGTTTTCCGCAGCCAAAATAGCTGCGTTTGACTTAGTGCGTACCTTGCCGCCGAACATTAGCTTTCTTGGCGTGCGATCGGTCACTCTGTTGTGCGATGTTCTGTGAGTAAACAGAGCCTCGACTACAACCTCTTCCAATCGCATGCCGGACAAAGTTGCTGCCTGTATACTTTCCTTTAGGGAGCGATTTGTACGCATTCGCAGTTGGATTTTACGAGCCAGTTGGTACGTGTTTCACATCATGAACTTCTAAGAAATGTCGGAAATCGTAGTTTGTGCATTGCAGTCCGTCATTCGTCACAATTGCTTCGGGAAGCCCAAATCTAGCACACAGAAGCTTCAGCCACCTTATAACGGTTGAAGTGTGCACGTCGCCACAAAGGTGACTCTCAGTCCACTTACTGTAAATGCCATTAACCACTAAACAGTTTCTCTGGTGGTGCGGTATAGAATGAAATAGTCCCATTATATCAATCGCCACCTTGGACCAAGGTTTCACTGAAAGACAAGTCAAGACAAGACAAAATACGCTTTATGCATCCAGATGGGTACAATTTCAGCACTTTACAACATTGACAATGAATGAGCTAAAATTACATTTTCAGAACTAAATTTGTAAGCAAGGATGAAAGGACACTGTGTAGAAGTGTCGCTTGAATAAACGATTAGTGTAAAAGAGCAACAATTAAAGAGTACTAGAGCAAATAATGTAAAGCCAGCGTTGCAAGCTAGGATTTCAAGCTAGATCGGGACCTTCCATCTTTTCTTGTGCAGTATCTTGAATTTTTCTTAAAGATTGCGGTAAAAGACAGCAGCGGTGACCTTTAAAATAGCTTGACGAATATCGATATTGAAATATTCTGAGAAAACTAATGGATTCACAGTGCTATTGTAAAAACGAGGTTTAATGACAGCGGCCCGGCCAATGTAAAGGCTCCGCCCCTTTGACAGTTCGGATGGGTGTATCGATCGGCTTAGAGCTCTTGTCGGCGTTCTGACACGCCTCTGCCAGTTTAGTCACTTTCGGAACCAAAAGTGTTCTTGCAGTCGGCGCTTCGATCGTACGATACCCGGATGACCTTCGTGTGCACACTGGCTAATTTTTGTCGTTAGTCTTTATGGAGCCACAAGTCTCGATCCTCGAATAAGACAACCATCAATGACCGCTAACTCCTGTCGTAAAATATAAAACTCTCGTAGTTCACCACTGAGCTTCGTGTAGCGAGGCCAGCCTTGATAGAGGTAACGGAAAACGGCTTGTACATTTGGGTAGCATCAGTAAGCTCTTGAAGCTGTTGCTCAGTTACGACGGAAAGCTCGCTTGAATATAAAGCAGAAGCCTTGACTTTTTCTTCGTCGTCCTCATTCTTCTTGGAAACGTCCAATGGAAGACATGATAAGCTATCTGACATATGGTTTTCAGAGCTAGGGCATAATGTGGTTTGACTGAATCACGGGGAATGCTGATCCATAGCAATCCAAAAATTCCCATTGATTAGAATGAATCAAGGGAGGCAGAATCTGAGTAAAGAATTCTTTTCGGTAATTCTCATCGGACTCAAACATTACATGATGAGGAGAAAGTGCTAAATGTGCCGGATTGGGCTGCGTATTGAACAGAATGTTTAATTTCATGCGTACAAATCAATAAATCACGGGGTCATTGGAAGTGGCAAGTATGTACAGGGGAAATCATAGCCGAAGTTGTAGGCCACGGTAGAAGCAAAGGACGTACAAACTGTTTTTGTACGCACAATTCTGGCTTGAGGTGGCGGATGTAGATAGCTTCCGCAATAGACAGAAGATGCATCCGGAATCCGCGCGTGAAACGTTCAGGAACAGTATAGATGACTCTAAAATCATTTTCCATCCTTGCGTGACTGCACTCTAGAAGGTGAGATAAGATGGAACTGTTACTTGACCTCGCTTCGCCTTTGTAAAACCACTTTGGGATGTGTTCGCGAATCCTATGAGATAGGCGCCTCGTGGTACGACCTACGTATCGTGCCCCACAGGAGCACGAGTAAAGATAAACAAGCATTGATCGGGTCACCGGAGGCAGCCTGTCTTTCAAAGGTTTTGCGAATAAAGGCTTGTTTTAAAATACTATGCGTAGGCTAGCCGCGAAATAGGTCTTTTCAACAGCGTCTTTCAGGCGTTTGGATAGGGCATCAGCCGCACTGTCGCCTTTGAAAGGAATGTGCACAATTAGTTCATTTTTGGGTACGTTCATCCTCGGTGGTTTTATCTTGCGTTCTTTCAAATGTTCCGGGCACATAGAATTTGCACCCCGGACACAATCACCAAAGAATTGCAGAGAATCGGCGACGCGCTAAGAGCGAATGGGTATCCAGATAAATTCATCCTCAAACATTTGAAAGAATGCAAGATCAAACCACCGAGGATGAACGTACCCAAAAATGAACTAATTGTGCACATTCCTTTCAAAGGCGACAGTGCGGCTGATGCCCTATCCAAACGCCTGAAAGACGCTGTTGAAAAGACCTATTTCGCGGCTAGCCTACGCATAGTATTTTAAAACAAGCCTTTATTCGCAAAACCTTTGAAAGACAGGCTGCCTCCGGTGACCCGATCAATGCTTGTTTATCTTTACTCGTGCTCCTGTGGGGCACGATACGTAGGTCGCACCACGAGGCGCCTATCTCATAGGATTCGCGAACACATCCCAAAGTGGTTTTACAAAGGCGAAGCGAGGTCAAGTAACAGTTCCATCTTATCTCACCTTCTAGAGTGCAGTCACGCAAGGATGGAAAATGATTTTAGAGTCATCTATACTGTTCCTGAACGTTTCACGCGCGGATTCCGGATGCATCTTCTGTCTATTGCGGAAGCTATCTACATCCGCCACCTCAAGCCAGAATTGTGCGTACAAAAAACAGTTTGTACGTCCTTTGCTTCTACCGTGGCCTACAACTTCGGCTATGATTTCCCCTGTACATACTTGCCACTTCCAGTGACCCCGTGATTTATTGATTTGTACGCATGAAATTAAACATTCTGTTCAATACGCAGCCCAATCCGGCACATTTAGCACTTTCTCCTCATCATGTAATGTTTGAGTCCGATGAGAAGTATCGAAAAGAATTCTTTACTCAGATTCTGCCTCCCTTGATTCATCATAATGTGGTTTGTAATTTATAGTTCAGTGAACGCACAGAGCAGCGTTTACTCCGCAGAGGGTTGTGATCATTGGATCCTCGACTGAGTAGGGTAGTTAGAGCAGCGTGATCTACGCAGTGTCAACCTCCAACCAAACAGGAATAGGTGCCATTTTTCACTATCCCAGACATAGGCAAAGGCATTCCTTTCACCGGTGGAGTATGAAATCATTGTAAAAGATAAATTCCTAGAGTAATATGCAATCACTTTGTGATGTGGCTGACAGCTGGAACGAAGCAAATCACCTGCCTCAGTGTGGTCGATCAGGCGGTCGATCGACAGGGCGACAGAGATTTTTAAGAACACACCTAATTGTACATTACTTTAAACTTGTAAATAGAACGCTAACGTGCAGTGCCAGTGTGAGTTCTTTCTCTTGACGCGGCTGGGAGAACCAGGCATGTAACATGGTGACAGAGGAAAGGAAGAAACCGATCAGCAATCAGCAGCTTTATTCTGGCTGCCAGCCTCTTCCAAGGATACCGGCTGCATTACAGTTGACGGAAGGTTCGCTGCACGAAAACAGACGCAAGTGACAAGCGAAGTATATGAACTTCGCGACACTGATCGAGTTAGATGAATATCCTATGTCATAACCGTTAGCCGTGTTCAGGTACGCCATCGCACATGATGCGATGCAGAGACTAGATGCCTGGAATTTCGGCGATCACGACCAATAATTGGATCTTTCAGAAACGCTCGAGAGATTTTGGGATTGTTGTGAAGACCGGTTAAACTATTTGGCCCGCTGCTGTCGATCGACCAATCTTAGGTCAAATGATAGTGTAAATCAGCACGAATTGCAAGTGATTTCAGTAACTAACAGGTAGGATCACGACGAAGAGGGATGCGCTATTGCAAACCTGCTGATTCACTGACAACTAATTCAACTGCAAACTGATACTAGGACCACTGTACGTTTGCAACCCAAAAACTTTCCACTAATCCTTTGCAAGACCGTCTTCGAAAGCGTTCACATCGGCGAAAGACGCGTCACAAACCCGAATCAAGCTATGAGAGCAGAGCTGAGCCCCATTGGCAAACGTTTATACTGGAACAGACCGCTCGATGTCAGAAAAGCCGTTAGTGGTCTCGATCTTGTTGTCAATGACATGTGGAAAAAGCCTTCTTCAGACCTAATTTTGAGAAAAATCGTGCGCCAATTATCTTGACTAACAACTCATAAACTGTGGATAGAACGAACTTTTCGACGACGATCTGGCTATTCAACGCCTTTAAGTCATTACATATGTGCGCATTACAGTCCTTCTTTTAGATCGTGTCCGTGGATGTACCCATTCAGAACAGTTAGTTGTATCTACCAGATCGTTGGATCCAAACTTCTGTATGGCTTTCTCTACCATCGCACGTTTCGTCAACGGAATAAGACGTGGTTGCGATATAGAAAACGGCTTAACGTCCTATTTCAGACATACGCGATAAGCGGCAGATGGAATCCAGCCAATCGTCTCAGTAAATAATTTGGGATATAAACTTATAAGCACTAATCCATCGAGTGCCATGATACGAATTCGATCGATAGATGGCGTTATCTTAAGAGCGATCATAGCATTTCACCTCAACAAGACTGGATTGTCTTCAGGTGCCACTTACACAGCAACGTCGGATACGACCGACTGTAGACTAATATTTGTCACCATACATCCATAGATGAACACAAGAGCATTGGTGTATGAGTCAAATTTGTACGAAGTGGAATGCAATAGAATGTCATGTAAGTAATTTTCATAAAGACTAGATGGAATGATTGTTGTTGGCGATGAAGAATCTAATTCCATCGCAACTGGCACAGTGGTTTGGGTGCCCTAGAGCTTAACCGTATGAATGTCAGGGGAAGGAAGCTTGGGTTCCATCAAGAATGTTTGTCGATTGTCTGGCTGATGAAGTTTTCAGACCGCAAAAATCTTTTCCGTAGCAGCGGCAGAAGGAGACTCAGTCAATGGTTGTTCACTTAGTGCTACTCGACGGGAGCGGCAACACTGGGCCAAACGGCTCAGCTTACCCCAGCTTTTGTAATCTACTGTACGCGCGGGACACGGTTGACATGCAGCTTTGTGTCGAGAAGTTCCACATTAAAATCACAAAAAAGTCAACTTCTGAGATGGCGTAGAATTCGTGCTCCGGAACTTGCGGATTTCGTGTGAGTCTTCGGTGTTGAACAAACGCCACTGTCCAAGGGCAGTTGTTTTGAGCCTAGCGCAGGAAAGCTTTGCGGGTTTTCCAGAAGTAGTGTTTGGCGTACGCGATGATTCGTAGTGCGGATATTAATTTTATTTCAGCATAAATCTTTCAACTTTACTCTTTGGAGTGCTAGTGTACTCGCATGGCTCTATTGCACTGATCAAGTGGGAAACAAAGTGTTTCAGGGGCTCTGAGTCCCCTTGTCTCAAACGGTAGAAATTGTACATTCAGCAAAGACATTAGGTCGGGTGCCCCAAGATCCATCCAGTACATCTAACGTCTTTGTGAGCGTGTCCACTTTTGGTAGTTCCAGTGCATCAAAGTAACCTTGACCCTAATTCTCTAATAGGTGACCGAGAAGATTCGACTTTCGGGCCACATTTGGAGTAGCAGTTTAGTGAGTTCACGTAATTTGTAAAAAGATGTTTCCCATTGAGCACACTGTTAGTAGGTTTAACACTTGAATCACAGCAGAATGAGTCCGTAGGTGAAAGATGGGATGCCATTGTAGCAGTTCGCAGCCGCGACGCCAATGTGATGTCCCAATAAGCACACTAGGCCCATGCACAAGCAGGGTCTTGAATCATTACGCGCCGATCCCATCAACGAAAGCAGAACAAGGGGCGGAGACGCTCCGGACACTCTATTCACAAGTGTCAAATAAGGTACAGGCGTGAGGACCTTGATATTGATTAGTCGATGACGCTCATCCAATCATTTGTTGGCTGTGATGCCTGGTGTGGCAGACATGACTGGAACTTACGGTAGGCACTACAACAGTCCCGCCATAGGGGAAAATCGGAAAAAGACAAATATATGGGCCAGATAAACGTTCATTATCGAAACACACCATCCCGCTAGCTAAAGGCACCGAAAGAAAGTTCTAACTGGTGGAACTGTTATAGTCGCCAGCCGAGACACGGCAAACACTCCTCGAGATGAGAAAGCCGGAAGCGCGCGAAATGCGATTCGTCTGGTTGCCATAAATATACGTAGTCATGCTTCCAACGGGCAAGTTCATTACGTTTTCTAGGTAAAACCGATATTATATTTTTATAATATTTTACACTTGGCACCCAGACAAAAAGGGGAATCTCCAGGTCACAGCACAAGTGTTTCAGCCTCTGTTCGTATGGAAGAAAATGAGTTTCAACTAGATTTACAGAAAAT